CAGTTTATAACGCTTCGCGTTTTACAGCTCTTAAAATGAGCGACATTGTTTTATACTGTTGAAGAAAAGCATTCATTTGATTTAAGTTGAGTGAAAGTTTACTCCAGCCAACCCTTGTTGTTATAAACCTTATCAAACAAAATATCCCCGCATTTGATTTCACGATACTCGCTGGCAACGCTGTTTTATCGGTTGGTCCGTCTTGCCTGAGCTGGCGTTTTTGTGAATATGCGAAAAACTAATTTGTGATATGGGAATCGGCTTTAACTAGTGAAACTACAGTTATTCTGCTATAGTTTAACGTAAAGAAATGAGGATGTTTGCGGTGTTCCGGTTGCCCAAAATTCACCTCGAAGAGGAATCTTCCACGACCAAAATTTGCTTCTTTCGACCAAAGCGTGACATCAGTTAGTCACGAACCATTTTCGAGTATCTTACATAAACTTACGACTTGAAGAAAGTTTACGGTATTCATAACTTTATGTCTAGTTTAGAGGCTGTGACAGTGAGAAAAACGTCTTTTGCCATTGTTTTCTTGCAGATGCAGCCCTTTTAGAGTATGTGCAGTGGCAGCAAAATTAAATTAAGCATGACATATGTAAACTGATTTGTACAAAGAAACTAAGGCAATAAAGATGAAGGTTTCCTCGATAGATTCTCCTTAAGCATTGACTTCTCCAAAGTTATGTGGGAAACCTGAAGAGGTGCAGAAAAATTGATTGAGTATTGAAAAATACACATTTCCTTGTCAGTCTGTTGTCATGAGGCAGACAAAAGACTTCTCTACATGGCCATTCCTACTTTTGTCATCAGGTCATTGATTGCATTGACAATTTTTGTTTGTTTTCATAGCTCTGAAAAGAGTGGTATGAGTGGTCCTGAGAAGAACCATTTCAATACTAAGTAATGTTTTCTCCGCGAAACAATATATTTGTCTCTTTTATTTCTCATAAGGCTCACTAATAATCTCAGAAGAATGTTAAAAGCTCGAATGGACGGCAAGGTACTCAGTTAAGTCTGCGTCAGGCCAAGTGGTCCATACTGCCTGAGCATATCCCAGTTTCCATAGCATGGATGAGGTGCCAGTCCATTGCAGGGTTACCCCCAGCATTAAAATTCAATGCCACCCATTTATACACCTGGGCGGAGAGAAGCATTGCAAGAGTATTGGTAAACTGTCTTACCCAAAAACACAGTGTAATGACTCCAGCCAAGGCCCAAACCTAAACAGTTCAATCAGGAGTCCAGCGTGCTGACCATTAGGCCGCCATGGCTAGTCNAAACGGTCGACCGCTGAGTCCCAGGCACATCGGCTCACAATTTTCACGTCTTGTTGATTGATGTCTCCTATGGCCACGTGACAAACGAATTTGTATCTTGGATAACAAAGTTTCTTTACTCGTTCCTTGATCTCCTCGGTTATCTTGAGAGCAGCGTCTTTGCAGAAGTCTGGGTCATACGTCCGCTCAGCCAGGTTTGTTTCCAAAACTTGTTGAATAATTGGTTTAACACGGTGTTCCTGAAATAATAATAAAATTTATGGAAAAAAAAAAAAACTTGTATGTGACAACAATCTGAAGCAAGTACACTTGAATTAGCAGCAGTAGGGTATGTGTCCGAATACAAATAGAAAAGTTAACGAGAACTGCGTATTACTCATTAAAGACAAAAAGTAGGCTTGACAAAATGAAACTCGGTGCATAAAATGTCCAAACATTTGGTTTAGGCTCTTCATTAGTGAAAGTTCGTTTTGTTTATCCAAATAAACATTCAAAACTGAACTCGGGCTTTCTAGAAATGTTTAGGTCGTTTTGGCACTCTCGTTTTATCTAAAGCTAAAATTTGTTGACCCCTAGGAGTAAACATGTGCTCGCTGAATGGGTTCAGGTTTTTTGCGACAGATGAAAATGATGTCTGTTTAGGTTTCAAGTTCATTTTCATAGCTGTTTAGTCCAACACGGGTTAGGAAAATATACTGAAATTTCACAGTGGAGAAAAGGTTGTAGCAAATACTTCACTTTATTCTTGTAAAACTTTTCATGCAAACCACCATATGAGAAGTTTTTAACAATTCAACTGACCTGAAAGGTTTTTAGGGGTTCCATAACAAAGGGACGAGCCATAGTCAAATTTTCATCAACCAATGAGCTGTCTCGTGCCAATGCACTACTCTGCCGACTCCCCATGTTGCTCATAAAGTCCTCTGGCGACCACGCATGCGTCATGTCAAACTGTCCCCAGTCTCCATGCCGTCGTTTGACTTTGATCAGATGCAGTGACTTCTGTTTTATGTCTTTTGATAAAGAGTGAGCGGCCACAACAGCGTAAATGGAAGGACTTGAGGTTTCGTTTTCCTCTTCAATAGATTTGCTTTCACTTTGGAGTTTGTTGAGTTTCTTTTCTTCCCGTTTACTTTCCATACTGTTATAACTGGCAGGAATCAAGATTATTAACATTGTACTGAAGTTAATTTAACAAATAAAGAAGCTTAAGCCCTGTATTAAACTGTGATAAAACACGACGGGCATTTGAGAACACGAGAGAAATGTAGAAAACACGAGCCGCAGGCGAGAGTTCTTCTACATTTCTGGAGTGTTCCCAAATGTCCTGAGTGTTTTATCCCAGTGTATTACACGGCTTAGGCTTCTTCATTTGCTTTATGATATAGAAGTAATGTGGCGAAAAACAATAAAATACGCTTTTTCTATGTCTCATACTCTGATAAAACAGGTTTTTGACCAATTTGAGTGCGCACAGGGTCCCATCTATACTATAAAGATTGTTACAACACTGAGATAAAGCAACACTTTAAGTTCAAAAGTTCATTGTGGGGAAAAATAAACATAATTCAAGACCTCGGCTTGTATTTTATATACTATTCCCGAAACGCTTTTTTCCAACCTGTAACCTTAAGTCATTCGGCAGAAGCGTCCGATTTTCAGTCAAGGATGAATCTTTCACTAAAAGTTTTGTAACATAACCGGGGCTGAAACTACAACTAGACAATTGCAAATTCTAGTATTACGTACTAGTTTTAAACTGAACTTCTACAAGTAAACGAATCTGGGCTTTCGAGCAGTTTTGAAGGATTTTTAATTTGACTACGCTTTTCCAACACTGTAAATGCCAGTTTTGACACACGTCCTGACATTTTATGCCAATATTTCCATTAGAAAGCCTTCCTCGCTTTCGATAACGACTCTTACAATGAAAATGTGTAATCCGCATTCGTAGCAACTGTGGTATGAGCTCAAGCTCTTCATTGACACTGTAGCTCATCCCAGATAAGAAAAAACACCATCAAAATTAAACCAGACTGTCGGTTATATAAACTGAGGTCTAAGGTTGCTTTCTTTAAAGGACATATTTGACGACAAAGCTTCATCTCTAAGGCAACGCGCACGACCGCAAACGAGATTAGGTCATGATCAGTTCAAGCGTTATTCGAAAAGCCATCGTCCATTAATTTCAGTAAATACCTCTGTTACCAACAAATGCCGATTATTATACCTACCCAGAAAGTGACTTGAAAGGCAGTGAAATGAAATGCAGCGGTTTAACTCTGTGCTGATCACTTAATGAGAGAAAAGTCGCCTCCAAACGAACGAGAAAACAAGGTCTTACAAGAGAAAATAAACACTGTTTTCCGTGTCACAGGATTGAAAATAATCCGGTCCTATTGAGAGATGTGTCAATAGCACATTGTTCTTTAATCAAACAAAAGACATAAATGGATAATTTTCTATTCAAATTTTAAATGGATGATTAAAAATAATGAATGACGTTCCTGTTAATTGGCATGGGTTAAATACTCCTCCCCCAAATGGCTTTCACCCATAATACCACACATAATGACTTTAAATTTGAGTAGACGGACAAGTTTACAGTTAGACCTTGCTAATTCGAACTCGGTTATTCCGAATTCCCCGTTATTTCGGCCTCAAAACCATTTTCCCTTGGATTTGCTCGACTATTTCGATCTCCCGCTATTTCGAACTATTTTTCGTTTCCCCTGAGAGTCCGAAATAGCGGGGTTAAACTGTATTTGTAAAATGTCAGACCAAACAGATCTGGGCAGTGCCTCACGATTGAGGACCTCACTGAGGGTTTTAACAGTAGCTTTCATTAAATTTTAAATCACCTACAGACCAACAAGTTTGAGCCATGCATCTTTTACAGTATATTAATTAAAAAGTCATTAATAAACAGTACGACATGAAAGTACTGTTCAATAACTTTTGAGCTTCTCTAAACATATATAGCAAGTCAATATATCTTATTAGCCAAGCGCGAGGGCCGTACTGTGGGAATATCGGCCCGAGATCTTCAAAGTACGGACCTAACGCAGCGAGGACCGTACAAAAAAGACAGAGGAATAGCAGGAGCCAAAATGTTGATTGAAAGTACCACGATCACGGACTGGGAAAACATCTCAAACTTCAAGCGCACAAGCGCACAATTCTGTTTGGAAGTCGACTAGACGTGTACCTCAGGTCTGATATGAAACAAAACGGAAGGGAGAGAGAGTTAGAAGAAAAACAAAAGGAGTCTTTTATTTGAAATATGAAACTACCATAAAATAACCTTTAGGAGTGATCGTGCGGGATCATTCGGGACAGTGCTCAGTCCACAATACTTAGAGAATACTGGACTGGCAATGGAGCATTTTAGTGATTGGCCCAGTGAACTAGCTTAGTCGTGTAATAAATATATATATATATTTTTTTGATACTTCGAATGGCAACCTGACTATGATTAATGAATGGTCCTGATTTTTTCATCACGCGGTATATTTGTCCTAAGAATCTAAAGCTATCCGATTAGTACATGCTCTATAGAGGCAACGCCCATATGACTGCGAGGAATTTTGAGAATACCAGTAAGCCGATTTTCTGGTGGATTTGGCCCCTGACATGAATCCATTCACAGATACGGTATACGGATATCTCCTTGGTCGATTTGTACCCCCCCCCCC